GAGAGAGAGAGAGATCTTATCATAAATTTAATGGATCGCATATCATCTGACTGTATTGAATGATAACTCAAAGTAACTGACAAGCTTCTCATCTATTGATTCAATGTAACTGACTTATTAAAAGTTTACCAGCAACTGTAGAGAAACTATTCAATGAAGTAAACCTTGGATTGTATTCTATTTAGTCCAAAATTATATTTGTTGGAGGCCTCATGGAAAAAGGCTACATATACAAAAAATGGTGCTAGAGGCAACATTCTATATAAAATAAAGTACCTTCTAGAAAAGGGCAACATGTACAAAAAAAAAGCTTGAGGTAGCATTCTTTACAAAAAGTGGTGTTAATGAGAGATCACAAATTCCATCAAAAGAGCAATTTCTTGAGAACAAGAAATGGTGCTAATGAGATATCTTTCCGTTCTTCTTGATAAGTTGACTATCATGAGACCAAGATATCACCAAAAGAGCAACTTCCTGTACACATGCAATTGGATTTTACGCTCGATACTCATCTTCACCTACAATAGGAGTAATGTCCCAAGAATTCATCAATAACATTGGTGAGGGTATGACTCTGATCTTTGTCAATATCCATGACAATATATATGCAAAAATAACCTGTGCAGGAAAAATCATTCCATTGAGGAATTTGCAGTTTTTAAATTTTCCAAACACATATATGACTAGAGGTTGTAGAGAGAGATAATAAGTTTTAAGAGAATATCAACTTGACATGGCTTTCAAAAAATTATCAAAGTGAAGGGAAATGTGAAAATCTTTTGGCAAAAAACCAGTCCATCACAAGCACCATAACACCCAAAGTGTAAAGCACAAGCACCATGAACCATGAACCAAAGGAAAGCAAAACTCAGCCCAAGAAACCAGGTACCTCTCTCTCCCTATAGCAAATCCTAATCCAAAAATAGGTTCCTCTCTCGCTCTAGCAAATCCTAGCAAAAAATACCAGCTACCTTTCTTTCTCTCTCTAGCAAACCTAACCTCAATATTTTTGAGTAAACAAAACACAATAATACAAAATGACTTTTTTGCAAACTTCTATAGATTTTCTAGGTAAAATCCCTTTTCATTGTCCTTTTTGACCTTTTCAATGTTTGGTTCATCTTCATTTTGAGTCTTTAACGAGCATAGTTAGATCCTCTAGAATTCTTCGTTCTTTTCTCAGCACCACTTAATTTCAAGCATTCCCGCCAATAAAGAAAAGACAATATCAAGAAAAAAGCAAGCGGAGAAAATTACATCTTCAATAAAACCAATAAATACTACAATAATATAATATCAAAAAACCATTCTATCAAGTTCACATTTCCTCCATTCTCCTTATGCTTTAAGAGTTTCATTTTACAGTGCGAAGAAACAATAGGTTTCCCCCTTATCTCCAATTAATTATTTTCTTTGGAGCTGTTCACAAGCCATCTCTACATAAATAAATGAAATTAAAGAACAAATTCCCCACCATCTTCACTATTTATTAATTCAAGAAGAGAAAAAATACAAAAAAACTACAGAAAAATCGCACCTTCTACACTAAAAGCGGCTATTTGGAGCCAAATGCACATTCTACACCAAAAACCTTGATTTATTTGGGGTTCTTGAGCCATATTGATTTGGCTATTTGGAGCTTCTGAGTTTACTGGTGATCTGAAGTCCTCTTTTTTATTGGTGATCTGAAGTCCTCTTTTGTATAGATCCGTGCAAAATTTTATGTTGATCCTTTGGGGTCCTACACACATGGGTGAGGGAAGGTCTTATAGGACCATTTCTCTCTTTCTGTCTCTGTCTCTCTCTTTCTCTCTCTCTCTCTC